TTTCTGTAGATTGATGAATTGATTAATTGGCTGATGGTTGCAGCTTTAATCAGTTAACTAATTAATGTATATAAATAAATAATCAATGGAAACACTGATGCTGATCAGACAATAAGTAATGTTATGACATCACTTCTGTTAACATGTAACAGACACTCTCCATTATGCAGCCTGTAAATTCTGAAGGAATTAAAACCCTAAACTTCACAAATACATTAATTGATTATTTAAAAGGAATCAATAATGTGAGTAAAGCTTCTGTGGGTCAAACTTTTCAAATCTGAGGGTTTGATCCTTTTAACTGTTTCGTATCTGAGGGTTCAGAACTTTTATTCTGACAGAACTGGAGATCTAAAGGCGTCACTCTGGGCTCCGGGAACCTGACAATGTTTTTCTATATTTTATGAAACAAAAGAATGATTGTGAAAAATGAAAAAAAAAAAAGAAGCCGTGATGAGATGTGTCCAATCACAAACTGTAAAAACAAGGAGAACGCCACAGTGAACCCGCTGCGACCTCTACTTCCACGTTCACTGCTCCATAACCAAATACATTCACCCCTCCCCTCACCTCCTCCTCCAGCACGTCGCAGGCCAGGTGGATGCGCGACACGTCGGCCTGATGCGGCCTGGCCTTCAGCTTTCTGGCTCGGAGGCTCCACAGCTTCACCGTGGAGCTGTCGAAGCCGGCGGCCAGCAGCCGGCTGTCGGCCGAGACCTCGGCGGTGTTCAGCATCTGCTCCGTGTGGTGGAAGGCGTAAAAGCACACGGTGGTGAGCGAGGGGGGGCCCTCACGGACTTTCTTGATGCAGTCCTGCAGAGCCTCCAGGGCCGCCTCGCTCTGCGGGATCCCTGCGGGGACCTCCACCCCCTCCCCGCCCTCCGCCCCGTCCACTCCCGCCCAGGTCGAGGTGGAGTTTGGGGTGGCGGTCGCCCCACTGGCAGTTCCGTACAGCTGGTAGTCCGTACGCCTGGAGGCGGTGACCTCCACCTGCAGGTGTGTGCTGAGGGCCCTGCAGAGGGCGCTGTTGTCCTCGCTCTGCAGGTAACGCAGCAGGTAGCTGTAGGCCGGCTCCGTCAGGTGAACCACGTACTTGTGCTCCAGGAAAGCACTCAGCTTGGGATTGGCTGCAACGTCCTGAGCGGTGAGAACATGGCGGAGCTGCTCTATGATGGCACGCTGCTCGCTGTCCTGAAGAAAGGCACTGTGGAAACGACTGTAGAAACCGTCTACTGCCCCCTTCAGGCCACAGCGCACCATGTCCAGGTGGAGGTAGATGAAGAGCGGGTAGAGGACGCTGCTCACCTCCTTCGCCCAGGATATTTCTGTTTCTAATTTCGTGGAAATAAAACATATCCTTGTGTCAATAAAAACAAGCTCATGTAGCATCTAAAAAGGAAACATGATTTGATGGATAACTATTTCCAAAACAACTTAGAGCAGATATTCTAACTGGCACAACAGACAGCTGCAGGGACGTGCACGTCGTACCTGAGAGAAAGGAGCGCAGCCTGGAGTACTGAGCCTCATACTGCTGCGGATCCGCCTGGCAGGGAGCAGCAGAGACGATGTTGGCACAACCCGACTCTGTCTGCACTGCTCCGAGAGACAGAGAGAGAGAGAGAGAGAGAGAGAGAGAGTGTAAAGTAAAATATTCTTCTGATCCTGTTCATCTTCTTTTTAAAGAAATCACAAAACAACCCTGAGGAAGACGCTGTAGAGCTGCAACACTGGAAACGTTTACAGAAAACGTGTCCTGTAATCATTGTTCCAACATCATACAACAAAAGGAATTTGCAAATTTAAAGTCGAGAGATACATAAAAATAAACACTTCATTCATTTCAATTCCACACGTGTTGTGTACCACCTCTCCTGTCCTTGTGGCTGAAAATCCTTTGTAACTAATGAACAGCTTTGTTAGTCTCATAAGCATCATTCACACTGGAACTGTGTCCGTTATTGTTGGCAGATTTTCACATTCATGGAACTATAGCTTATTAATATCATTATTATTAGTAGTAGTACATTCAATGTTGGCAGCATTTTAATGTAGCTCATAGTCGTAGTATTTTATGACCTGTTGGTTCGTTCAAAGAACGTAAATGTACAAACAACTTTCACTGGATTAACTTAGATACTGAAGTAAAGGTAAAATCATGATGGGACGTTCTGGAGTTATAAGGGAAGTAAGATGATTTCTAAGCAGGTTTGTGGATGTTTGTTCATGATTGACGTCGGAGAAAACGATACCCTCAGAAAGTGTGAGTCACACTGAATCAGAAAATATGAGTATCATGTCTGTGTGTACAGAAGTGACTGAGTTATGACTCTGGTTTTTGGCAGACAGCTGCGACCAGGTGCTAAAGGTATAACTGAATTGCCTCCATGAGCTGGAAACACCTGAAGGTGGAATCTGCCCTGATGGTAGTAAAAGCAGCCCAAATTATAACAACCCATCCAAATCAGTATTTACCTGTTAATTAAAGAAAAAGAAACCCAACTGAACCCAAAATGTTCTGTGTGTAGCTGCATGCATCAGGTGCTCCACCACCTTCACCTGTCCTGTGCAGCTGGCTCACCTGTGAGGCTGGCAGCCATCTCTTCGGCCGACTGGAACAGTTTGGCTCCTTTCAGGGAGCCGTCGGTGTCCACATACTGCCTCCTCTTCAGGTACTGAGCCACGGCATACTGGATCTGCTCGGTGCGAACCCGCTTCATGACCTGAAAACCACGACAACAACAAAAAACCGTGCAGCGTCACACACCTGACGTTTGCGTTCAGAGAAGACACCTGTACGTCACTTTCTCTCTCGTCAGAGATCATTGGGAGCACGAACTGTGAAAGTCGGGGAGTTTACAGGTAGATAGGATGTTGTAAAAGACGGTGCATCTCTTTTTAAGAACTTAAACTCCAGTTAATTCTGTCCATGGTAACTTTACCCTCCTGGGCGCAGCATCTTCCCAGTAGCTAACTACCTAGCGAAGCGGCGAGCTAACGTGTTTACTGGGGCAAAGAAACGCCGTAAACGCCCAGACTGACGCTCTAAATGTGGATGTTGGATCATCTGTAAGCCTGAAACAACTGGAGCCGTGGACTAATCCTGTCTAAAGCTGCCAGTTTTCCATATTAGCAGAGGGTGCCTGAGCGGAGCTAGCCGGCTAACTTAGCGCCTAGCAGCGGGCCTGGCGGCTCCGGGCTTTTTAGCGGGACCGATCCGGGCCCGTGGCTTCGTCGGTTGGAAATGTTTACTCACTGCATATCGGGCCGTGCTTCTCCGTCCTTGGTTACTATACACAGGAAGACGAAGTTATAACGCAGCTCAATCTACGCCGCTGCTCGTTTTTGCAACTCCATCGTGGTCGTCCGCCCCCCTCCCGCTCAGCCGCCATCGAGTAGCGCAGGGATCTTCTACTTAGGCCTGGTTTCGCGTTATCGAACGATCGATGACCGACTACTACTGCCTGTATTTTTTGTTTGTTTTTTGTTTTGTTTTTTAATTGATAAACAGTATAAAGGAGGACAGTATACAAAACAAACAACAAAAGCAACAGTGAGTATACAGGGGTACAGTAAAGAAAATAAATAAAAGAAGCACCAGGGGTAAATAACATACATTACATAAAAATATTAAAAGACATACATAAGAAGTTCTATATAATTTTCTGTTTCCTTCAGGAAAGCAATGAAAGATGGTTTTTGGTTCGTGAATTTACTTTTGTGGATGAAACATTTTGCCAATATTATTAATAAATGTATTATGAAAAAATATTTGTCGTTTTTTGGAGGGTGTCTAAAGAAACCAAGCACGATGTTCACTCGTTATAGAGCAAAGTCTTTGAAAACACGGTCAGTAATGAAGTCTTGCCATAGTTTCTTGGTGTGAGAACAATGCCGAAATAAATAAGGACCTGCTTATGGAATTCAGATAGTTTCACAGGGAGTGTATCTATATTATAATTACAACTTAGAATAAAGCTTAAGCCAACAAAGCGAGAGAAAATGTACTGAGGAATAAAATTCCATAGTGAAAAGGGTTTTTTTTGACTCTGACCCAATTCATCTTAAAGGTATGATTTAGGGTAGTGAAGTTCAGGAAGTTAAACCCTCCAGATTCATAATTATTCATAACAACACTTTTTCTGATAGAATGTATACGATGCTTCCAGATGAAGTTAAAGAGCATCTGATCAATAGTTTTATTAATCTTACTGTCAATATGTAATTAAAGAGCTGCATATTGGGTAACAATTCACATTTTTTTATGTTCAAGCATAGGCCTGCAGCTTTAGAAAAGTTGTTAATTATATTGAGGGCAACTGGTGTCTGATTTGCATCTCTTAAAAAAAGGGTGGTATCATCAGCCAGCTGACTTATAATGATATCCCTACGAGCGATGGAGATGCCTTGTATGTTACTCTTAATTATATGGGTTGCAAGAACTTGTCTGCAGAGCAAAGACAGAAAGGTGAGATCAGACATCCCTGGTGAATTCCCCGTTTCAGGTCAAATCTGGGAGTCGTGCCGTGTTTCATTTTAATTGAACTATTTCCATTAGCGTACAAAGCTTTAATGGCCTGACAGAAAAAATCTCCAAAGCCAAATTTTTCTAGGGAGTAAAAGATGAAGTGATGTTCTATTGTATCAAAGGCCTTGTAGAAATCTAGAAATAGCATTTAGCCATGTTCAGATATCAATTCAGAATAATCCAGTGTGTCCAACACAAGTCTGATATTATTAGAAATATGTCTGTTTCTCATAATGCCTGATTGTGTCTCATCGATAATTGTGTCTAAGACCACTTTAATTCTTTTTGCAAGTATGACAGCGATAATTTTATAATCATCACTGTGATGACAAAACAGAAAGAGGTAACATCTTTGAAAAGTGCAGTGAAGAATTACAAACAGATTGACATTAAATAATGCACATAAATACAATATATACTGTATGTGTTACACACAGACACATTTTACATTCAAGAAATACATAGAAAAATATCTTTTATAATTTCTTTTATAAAAAAATAATTTGACAGACAACTGATACAAGTTGAGCTCATGTAAGAATAAGTCCCATCATCACTTTAAGTTGTACATATATTTACACTGATACATAAAGTGTGCCATATAAAATATACAGTATGCTATAACAAAACCACATGATGAGTGGAGTCCTTTACTCAGGACAGTAAAAAAATGTTTTAAAAGATCTGTTGAAAAACAAACATAATGTGACAGCGTTTAGCTTCTGCCTGAGTCTTGGATCATCACAGTTTCATATAAATGCTATAAACATTTCTCCAGTTTTCTCGCACCAGGTGTTAGAGTCTGGTCTTCTGTGCAAGGTTCATCCAACAGTTTCTTACTTTTGTTTCAGTTTAACTTCAGCTGTGCAGAAAGAAACGGATCCACCTCACAGAAGATGTCGATCAAAAGTCTACAGGCTGGATTTCCCTTCCTTAGCACCATGTCGATCAGGCCTTCTGCTTTGTCTGCTCTGGGCAATGCTGGGATCGACTCCTTTTCCCTTTCGTTTATGACCCTCTTTTGCAGAAGCACATCCATCAGGTCTTTTAGAACAGAAGTGGACACTCTGGCAATAAACTCTGCCCGAGCAGAGAACAGCTCCTCCTCGTCCTCCCCTCTGCTTGGTAGATTTTTCCCACTTGGATCACGACCTGGAAGATAAGTTACTTTAATTGGATGGCTAGAAATCAATTTCAACATTTTTAGTGCAGAGCGTTGTGTAATCCTTTTCGGGAACTCTGCATTTGATCCATGATTTATTGATTAAATAAAGTTAGAGAGGTGCATATTCAGAGATTTAAGACAGGAATTAGACCTGATGAGATAGAGCACATTCACTAGGTTTTCTGACTGTCTTTCAACAGTGTATCTCACCTCCTTCTTCAACTGGGACGGGGGGCGAGGCTGGTTCACTGGCTGGGGGTTGGGGAGCTGAACTTGAGGCTGGTTTTAAATCTGAACCAGAAACAAATGGCAAGACAGTGAAGTGTACAGTTGGATTTTCTGCAGGAAACTAAATAGCATTTAGCATCTATCTATAACCCTGTTCAAGGCACAGGTCCTGCGCCCCGGTGACAAACATCAATTGTTACATGCAGAACAAAAGAAGAATTGTGTGAATTAAACGAGTCATAAATGTTCAAATGTGTGAATGAGTAATTAATTAAGCCTTCTGTACCAGTTAGTTCAACAGGATACTCCCAGACGTGTTTCTTCTCTTGGTCTTGGACTTTCACCATCGCCCCCTCTTTGCTTGGACTTAGCCGAATCTCAAAAGTTGGGTGGTAATTTGGTCCATAGTTGAAGTCAAATACTGCAAAGTAAATCATTAACAATGTCTCATGGTTACTTCACCATATATTAAGTGACTATATAAAGTTAAAGCTGTACTAATAGAATTTTCTATATATTTTTTTATATTAACGATGAACTAAATGGCTGTGCAAACTGAAAAGTGTTGGTCACCTGACTCACCTCAGCTCTACTGATCTTTTTAGCTTCTTTAAGCTCATTGTTTTAATTGATCGTGAATGTCCGTGACTGACTGAGTGATCATAATTCCATTATTGGTCACCTGAATGTGTGACTGAGTTGGAGTTTCTTCATTGGCCGTTTTTCTTTCAAAATGAATCAGTGCAAGTGGTTTCTATCAGTGGGAAGTTTACAGTCTGCAGTGTTGCCAACTTAGAGCATTAGTCGCTAGATTTAGAAACTTTTTGGCTCGACTTTTTCACATCAAGGACACCTAAAATGACACTATCTAGAACATGGACCCCAAATTGATAAGATTTTGTCCCAGGATGCCCCATCTGATAAGTAAGTGTTTGAACCCATAAGTAACACAATGACATCCTGTCATTATGGTGGACAGTGGCGTTTTACAGCTTTTTAGCTTACAACAACTGCTGCTGCTGCTGCTGCTAGAAACAAGGTTGACAAGTGGAGAGTTGTCACCTTCAAAACCAAAATAAAAACCCAAAACAAGTTAAACAGCTCGGAGGAGCTGAGGGAAATTGCAGAGTTGGGTGATATTTCTCCTGTGGGTTTGTCTCTGAAACCCCTCCACAGAAATACCTTGTTAGTTTAAAAACCATTGGTGCAGCTTTCAGTACATTATTGCATTTTGGGATATTCTGTGTGAGCTACACTAAACTATCTAATCAGAAAAGCATTTGCCAAGAATTTCATATAATACTCAGGATACCTATTTCATTTACTTTATCAACTACTAACAGACAATTGTATTTGACATACTCACTGAAGGTACTATATAGGCCTCAGGACAGTCCAGACTGTACGTTTGGCCCCTAATGAGGTGACAGAAGGAAGGGGCCACAATGTACTCAGCTTCGTCCAGTTGCCCTTTCACCTTCAGGAGCATTGGAACATTAGACAGTGGCTTCATTATCCCAATTATATCAAATTAATTATAGCATAACAAACTTACAGGAACTATATAGAGAGAAGTGATGTGTCACTGACTGATAAAGTAATTACAAAAGCTTTTACCTCCTGCACCGGGACGTCATCTGGCAGCAGAAACACATTGAGTTTTCGGGTTTGTCTTTTGTACGTCGGTTGTCGAAACAGCAGAACTTGGCCCCTAATTTGTTTCCTGATGTTTAGAAACCATTTAATGATATCCCATACCAAGCCAAAGGCAGAGAGGTGAGGGATGTCCACAATCACATGGGTGTCTGTTATTTCCCGCGGCTTAAGGATGCTCATTCCATCATCACTGATGTGGACAACAGACAGGGCCTCAGAGAGCGATGCTGTGAACACAAAGAGCCGTCAGCACGAAAAACTCCTTCCACTCTGTGGTTTTAACTAATTATTTCTCATTACTGTGCATATTTACCAAGTTCTGTTTCACAGTGTGGGAAGTGCAGCTGAGAGACAGCGTCCTCAGAACACTTGATGTCAAACAGCAGACCTGCTGCCGTCTTTCCAGCTGAGCGGAGGAGTTCCTGATCCCAGCGGACGACCTTGTATGTCAGCTTCCCCGCCCCAGTCATCCTAAACGCCAGTTTAGTCAAATCACACTGGAACACACCTGGACATGGGCCCCAGAACCTGTATGCCGGAGAAATGAAGCTTATCGTAGGTTCAATCAGGAAGACAATCTTTACGCCTCATTTTCATTCACAACCTTTTCTCTTTCTCATATTTCGCCACGATCTCAATCAGCCAATCATGTCGTTGTCAAACTTTAAATCTGCTCTCTCCTGCTGTCAGCTGTCCTTTCAGGCAGACTGCTGCGACCCTCCTCCTCCCCTTTCACCTTCCAGCGTCATGTCCAGCGCCTAGCTTGAAGCCATTTCTCTACTCTAATATTCTGAGTCTCTCCTGGTTGAATTGTTTTATCACCTACATGCAGTGGACTGTGATGCTCCACACTAACAATTTAGCATGACCCTGCTGTGTGGCAGACATTTGCAACCTCAAGAAGACGATAAAAATGATCCTTTAATGATAAAAACATAAAACAACAAGTTTTGTCAATTTCCAAAACAGACATGTTCTGATTACCTGTACGAGATGTTTCCACCTTCATTTAACACTTCAGGTGTAAAGCGTGACGGGCCCTGGATTTCAGAAAGGCACAAAATTAGATTAAAAATTATTATTATATCAGGTCAGAGAAAACATTTGAATATAATGGTGACAAGAATTATATGAAAAACATGTTGCGACTAAAACTGAAATGATGCTTCTCTCAAGATACAAATAAATAATCTATGTCAAGTAGCTTAAATGTGAATGGATTTTTATTAATTATTTACAATAAATGTGAAAAAATATTTTAAAAATAATACAAATACAAATACAGGGGTGTCAGGTGACTCAGGTGAATGCTGGTGTTTTTCACCTAAAGATTTGGGTTTGATGCTGAGCTGCAACCTTTCTGTTTGACAGGTGAGTAACATCTGATGTTGGTCTGTAGCGAAAAGTGTCATTTGTGCAAATGACAAACCGTACTGACAAACACTTGAAGTGGCATAAATGTACGATGTTGACCTTTCAGTTTAGTAGAATTCAGCCTGTTCCTGCAGCTGTTGTCCAGCTGGATGTATCAGTAACTTTTCTTTTACAAGACAAAGAAACTGTTTGATCCAGAACCAGCTGGATCAGGATCCACTGCATAATGCTGTATATATTTTAGTATATTCATATCTATCCTTTTATTTATTATACACACACACTGTGTCATGTTTGAATATAAAGAACTTGTATGATCTAAACTAATTGTCCTATCACATGTTTGTCTGTATCAGGACCAGCACCTGCCTTTTCTTCTGCGTCTGCGTCTGCATCTATGTATATATATCATTTTGACTGTTGCAGTATTTTACCTTTTTATTGTTATTTCTTGTTAATATGTTTATTGTATCCTGCACCAAGCCAAATATCTTGTAAGTTAAAAAATTACCTGGCAATAAACCGTATTTTCTGAGTCTGCCTTTGTGATGATGTCATCATCCCTTCCTCATGCTGCTGTAGTCTGACACCCATGTGTCATGCACTATCCCCTTGCCTTCATATTTTTATAGGTAAATAAAAACATACTGTTTGTATTACAAGTACTCATAATTTGTTTCAATGCTATCAACAATTTTAACTATCAACAATAAATGCACATATACATAATAAATTATAAAGGAACATGGGGAAAACAACATGATTAACTGGACAGGGGCAAAAGGTGAAATGCTGCCCCCTATGGAGGTGGATCAAGTAGTACGATCTTACACATTATACCTTTAAGCTTTGATATGTTTCACTTTGAGGAGCAAAGGATTTTATAGTAATATGGCTTGTAATCTGCCTTGAAGCTGTGTCCATCTACTTAAACATGGACCCAGAACTGTTTCACTCTCACCTTCATAACCTCGCTCTTGTCCTCAAATGATTCAAGCTTCGTCTTTGCTGCTTTTGGATCCAGTTTGAGACGAGAGTCACCTGATGGAATCTTTATCTTTCCTGGTGTCCCCAACGCTGTCATGAAAATTGACAGGAAATAAAAGTTGGTGTTGAAAAAAAAAAATCTTTTTTGAAATAAGAAGATATTGAAGCAACTTTAATAGTACTGGCTAAGATCAAATTTAAATTATTCCATTAAAACTTCAACAAAAGAAGGTTAAAATGTTAGTATTAAAAGTCACAAAGAATTGGCTCACTTACATATTACATATTTATTATTGTGTTTACTTATTTAATAGTATCATATTTATTTATTTAATATCGGCCATTTTGGACCTTCAGTTTACTAACACACAGCCAATTCAATACTGAACCAGGACTGAACAACAGGTCGGTGAGCCAATCAGAAGAGAGGAGGCTCTGAGCCTCTCTTCTGATTGGCTGACTGTTTTCTGACTGATCCAATAAAAATATAGCAGATTTCAGGTAAAAACACTCACAGAAACCAAATCCTGCAAGGTTTGGATGGTGGGTCCAGGTGGGTGGGGCTTGGTGACTGCTTTGTTGTGACATCACAAAGTTCCAGAAGTCCTGACGGCTGGTTTTAAGGCTCAGTTTCTGAATACAGGCTGTGTGCATTTCTCTGTGGACTGAGGCTTTGATACTTTCACAGTATTAATATAGAAGCTAGAGCTGATCTATAATCACACTACACATGGACACAGACCTTTACACTGGAGGAGCTTTAAAGGTTCAGTTTACCCAAATCCAAAAGTATGTGTTTTTTCACTTACCCATAGTACTGAAGTGAGTTGGTATTTTTGGTTTAGCGTGTGAATCATAATGACCTGAGAGCGCCTGGGATTCAGAAAGGCACAAAATTATTTTTTCTAAACATAACTTAACAGTTATTTGCTATTAACTAACTAAGAACATTAAATATCCTTATATATATTTTGTCATCAGGTAAGAAAGACTCAACTCTTTTTGGTCTCTCTGCCAAATATGATGGTGAGCCATGGATGTGTTGCAGAAATCCTTCCGACATGAAAAGTTACAGGAAATAAAAGGTAGTCAAGAAAATGCCATCATGAACCAAACAGCCAATAAGAGATAACCAGTTTAACACTCTGCCATGTCAGGCTTCACAGAGATGGAGGTGAGGAGCTTCTTTAATCCTTAAAGGTTCAGTTCACCCAGATCCAAAAATACATGTTCTTCACTTACCTCCGAACCAATCACCACCTGAAGACCTAAAACAGCAGATTTAAAGGCAGTTACAGTATATACTGTACATATGTGTGTGTGTGTGTGTGTGTGTGTGTGTGTGTGTGTGTGTGTGTGTGTGTGAATGTTAAATGACACTAAATTGTATCATTAAATCAATTGTATTATTTTTCTATTACAGTTTTTTTCAGTCGCTAACAAGCGTTTGTCCAACCAGTTGTCACATTTTCAAAACTCTAAACACAATTAGCACAGCATCGGTCTTTTGTGGCCATACCATTCACACATTTCATGTCGTTTTCACACAATATGCAGTCAGTGAACACATTTCCACAATGCTTACATTTTTTTAACAGACAAGCTATACCTCCCAACAAAATTATGGATTGTTTTTGTATTATTTACGAATGTTAACACACAACATCCCACAATAGCAAAAACAATATTCCAAACCTTAGATACAGTATAAAAACCTCTGCTTCTGCAATGATATCAGTTCAAAAACAATATATCTCAGCTGATAATAAACAAACAATTGAATAATTGACACACAGCTGATTTATGTTGGGTAAACTGGGCCAACCACAGCTGATTCCAGTCTGGCTTAGACTCAGTGGCAGGGGTTATTTTTTTCTATTACATTGACACTTATACAGTAAAAGGAGGACTTTGAGGAGTGATGTTTTTGGAAACAGAAACAGAAAAAGACAAACACTGTAATGTCTGGATGAGGAAGAGTAAGAGCAAGGGGCCCAGGGAGAAGAGCAGGCCCAGTGAGAGATGCAGTGAGAGGTGCAGGAGCAGTGAGAGATGCAGTGAGAGGAGCAGGTGCAGTGAGAGGAGCAGGGCCAGGGAGAAGAGCAGGCACAAGGAGAGGGCAAGGTAGAGGTGTAACAATGCGTTGTGGTGGCATTCCAAGGGCTGCAAGAACAGTAGTCAGTGATGAAATTCGTGCCACTATCATTGACCATGTAATCAACCACGGTCTTTCACTAAGAGAGGCTGGTGAAAGAGTGCTCCTGTAGTAAACAGTAAAGGAAAAAAAAACTGATTTGCTTTTTACTGGAATGCTTTTGAATGTGAACATTACATGTGGACATACAGTTCCCAACCAAGAAAATTAGTGTAAAAACGGTGGATTGCATGTTTTGCATGCAAGTACCTGTAAAACTGAAACATAAAAGTCTATGCAGTTTTTGTAATGTCAACAATAGCCAGTATTTTTAAACCTGGTGTACTTTGATTGACTGCATGTACCTTGTGAAGTGAGAACAAGTGTTATTCTTTGACATAATAATTTCATTTTGAGTCAGATTTCCAGTGTTTTGGTAAAGTTAGTGTGTGCAGAGAAAGATGTGTTCTATTTTGAAATGAAGAGTTAGTATATATTTAACAAAATGTGTTTTTGAAAAGAAAATTATCCATTTGGCCAATTGTGTTTTGTAGGTGTGAGTCTGTGTTAAGAGTTTAGAAAAAGTATCTGAAGTATGGGTAAGCGCTTGTTAGCGATTGAAAAAAACTGTAAGTTGAAGTGAAGCGTATCTGATCATATGTATAATCAAAAACAAACAGGTTAAATTGACTCCATTGAAAATACAGTCCACAAACTACAACCTCAGTGCGATACAAGTGATTACACCTGTGACTTCCAATTAAGGCTAATTACATTAACAAGGTTATTAAACTAGCATCACCACCTCGTGGTTGTTTCCTCCAACAACCAGCCAAGTTACAGGAAATATGGTCACACTCTCCCCTTCTGTTCCTGAGTTACAGCCTTGAATAATGGCCAGAAGTGTTTTTGCAGAACATTATGATGTCACAGTGAAGTTGACCTTTGGAGGCCTGTAATTACAGAGTTAATTAGTTACAATCTATTTACAGTTGCTCAAAGGTGATTTCGTC